TGTCCTTCTCAGGGGGCAGCTCTCCTTCGCGCTTCTGCGGAGATCGCAAGAGGCCCCAAGATGGCCCCAAGAGGCCCCCCGGAGGCTCCCAAGAGGCCTCCAAGAGGCCCCCGAGACGCCGCCAAGCGGCCCGAAGAGGCTCCCAAGAGGACCCCAAGAGGTCCCCAGGAGGCCCCACGAGGCCCCAAGAGGCCCCCAAGAGGCCCCCAAGAGATCCCCAAGAGGCCCACGACGCCCCAAGAGGCCCCCAAGAGGCCCCCAAGAGGCCCCCAAGAGAGGCCGCACGAGGCTCGAAGAGGCCCCCAAGGGGCCCCACGAGGAGCCCGAACGACTCACATCAGGACGAGGGGCCCGAAGGACTCACACCACGAAGAGGCCGAACGACTCACACCACAAGAAGGCGCCCGAACGACTCGCACCAAGACGACGCGCCCGAACGACTCACACCACGAGGAGCCCGAAGGACTCACACCGCGACGCGGGCCCCGAACGACTCACGCCACGAGGGGCCCAAACGAGTCACACCAGGAGGAGGGGCCCGAACGACTCACACCAGGACGACGGGCCCGAACAACTCACACCACGAGAAGCCCGAACGACTCACACCAGGGCGAAGAGCCCGAACGACTCACACAACGAAAAGCCCGAGAGACTCACTCCAGGAAGAAGGGCCCGAACGACTCAGACCAGGACGAGAACCCCCAAACGACTCAAACCACGAGGGGCGCTTTCTCTCCCTCCTCCTTCGCCTCGTCCCTCCCCCGCCCCCCCCCCACAAGGAGGATGTGCAAGGAGGCAGGAGGAAGGAAGAACAGGGGGATATGCGGGGCCCAGCGGACACACGCCTGAAAAAAACACGACTGTCGGCATGCTTCGCGAGAGTTGCTGCTGCGAGATGGGCTGGTGGGGAAGGGCCCGAACGACTCGCACCAGGACGAGCGGCCCGAACGACGCGCAGAAAACTGCAGAAGCATGCGCACGCGAACGAACGGCCCGAACGACTCCGTGAACACCCCCCAGAATACAAGCGGCCCGAACGAGGGAGAGTGGGCCCGCATTTCAGCCAGAACGTGGGAAGTCGTCGACATCGTCGTCGAGGGAAGGCGAAAGCGGCAGGGGGGGTGATGATGGTCTCCTCCTCCCCCGTGAACCGCCAGCCCCCCGAAAAAGGGCGGGCCGCCCGGGCGTTTATACAAGACGCCAAAATTGAAACATTCCTGCAGGCCGCCTCTGCAGGAATTGAGGCGCAGCCCCTCCCGCAGCCGCGCTGCGGGTGCGCCGGCGGGCGCGGGGGGGCGGCGGTGGCGCCAACGCGCAGTTGGTAGCTGTCCTCCTCCTCCCCCGCCATCATAGGGATGATGAGAATGATGAGCATCCTACGATGATGAGGCCCTGGGTCCTGTCCCAGAGTCTCGGGCCCCGCCCTAGGCCGCGGGCCAGGCCCCCTCCCTCCATCGACTCTCAACTGCGTCCGTGTTATATATATATATATATATACATATACATATATATATACATATATATACACATATACGTCGACACACCATACATGTACAAGATATACATATATGCATCTAGTAATCGGTCAGCGGAAGCCCGACGCCGCCCAGAGCCGCCCAGCTGCCAGCAGCCAAGACGACCGCCCGGAGCGAGAGGCAGGGTCGTCGTCGTCGTCGTCGTCGTCGTCGTCGTCGTCGGGGAATACTCACTTGAAGACAAAACTTGAGACAGGACCGCAAATGATTCAACTGAACACAAAACAACCAAGACAATATGACATTTCTGAAACGTGCGACTGCAGGATCGCCAACGGACTCGAGTGTCCATTGTCAGCTTTTGTACACATAGAAACCCTGTGGTAAGCCTTGAAGAAATCTAAAACTTGAGCCTGACAGCCTTGTATACTAGTATAGCCTGAAGATCGTGGATCCCTGGTAGGCGGAGCGACGCTCACAGCCACACTGAAATACTGTTAGCCAGAATGGCAACAACGACGACGCTGGTCGGGGAGATCGCTGGACTCGACGACGACTACGACTCCTACTACGAAGGGCCCGAACGACTCGCACGCGGACGAAGTGCCCAAACGCCTCACACCACGAGAAGCCCGACCGACTCACACCAGGACGAGAGGCCCGAACGACTCACACCACGAAGAGCGCGAACGACTCACACCAGGACGAGGGGCCCGAACGACTCACACCAGGGCGACGCGGCCAAACGACTCACACCACGAGCAGCCCGAACGACTCACAACACGAGGAGCCCGAACGACTCACACCAGGAGGAGGGGCCCGAACGACTCACACGACGAGGATACCGAGCGACTCACACCAGGAATAGGGTCCCGAAAGACTCACACAAAGACGACGGGGCCGAAGGACTCACACAACGAGGGCCCGCACCGCCGCCTTCGTCGTCGTCGTCGTCGACGTCGTCGTCGTCGTCGTCGTCGCGGTTGTGGTCGTCGTCGTTGCGGTCGACATCGTCGTCGTCGTCGGGTGCGTCGTCGTTGTTCCGATCATCGCTGAGATCGTCCTCTCCGCTGAGTCCCTCTTGCCTCCCACCGCTTTCTCTCCCTCCTCTTCCGCGTCGTCCTTCTCCCGCTGCCCCCACAAGGAGGATGCACAAGGAGGCGGGAAGAAGGAGGAACAGGGGAGATATGCGGGGCCAAGCGGACACACGCCTGAACAACACAACTGTCGGCACGCTTCGCAAGAGTTGCTGTTGTGAGATGGGCTGGTGGGGATACGCGAAGCCTAAAGAATGTCTATAAACATATATGTACATGCACACAAACATACACATACACACGTATATATACATACGCACGTAGGCACATATATGTATACATACATACACACAAACATGAGTACACGCGAACACGCGTACGGGCATACACGCACACGCACACATGCATGCGCATACATGCGCACACACATGTATGCATGCATGCATACATGCATACACACAACTATACGTATACACATAGTTACAGACATGCATGCATGTATACATGCAACCATACATACATGCAACCATAACGTATTACATACATACATGCGTGCGTTCATGTATACACGCATACGTACACGTGTACACACATACACACTAACATACATGCATACGTACATACGTATATGTATTCATCACTTCACGCACATACATACATACATATGTATGTATGCATACACACATGCAAACATACATACATCCATACACACATGCGTGCATGTACGTATATACACATAGAAACATCCATGCATGTATGTACACGTACCTACATACATACATACATACATGCATACATACATATACACATACATTAGCACATGTATGAATGCATGCATGCATGCATGCATACATAACTACCTAAGTACATGCAACTATATATGTGTATGTACATATCTAGCTATCGCGCGCTTCGCGCGCTCTCAAGTTCTAGTTAGCTTGGAATCCAACGCGTGGCGGGGCGGAAGTAGCAGGCTCCGAATAACTGGAAGCTGCATGCCTCGAAGCCAGCACAATCGTGATGTAGGGTGCGATCGGAGTCAGTACTCGGGTTAGGGTCAGGGCCAGCGTAGCCTTGGATGTAGTGGGTGGATGGGCGGTAAAGGTAGGGCTCGGCTAAGGGCTAGGCGTTTTGGGTCGGGCTTGTCGAGGGCCCGGAGTCCCCTCCCACTCCTCGACGTCTGCTCTTCTCCGTCGTCCTCCTCCTGCTCCTGATCCTCAAAATTTACGTATCCTGATGATGTATGTCCACCCCCCCTGCCTCGATGACTCATTTCCCTCATCGCCCCGGGGCAATCTCAAACGTAGGACAGGGCAACGATTACCTTTCGGTGGACTTTTGGGAACCTCTTGGGGGAACTTCGCCGTCTCGGGGCCCTGCTGGGCAGGGCCTAGCAAGGGAACCGCTTGGTCCGCTGGCACGGAAACAATGAGATCCATAACTGCTTGATCCGCATTCTACCGTACCAACACTTGCTGTCGTCTGCGGCCGCTTGCTCATGTTTGCTGGCCCTGTTCGGGCTATATGGGGGCTCTCGTGGGGCAATGCTGGGCCGTCTTGGGGACCTCTTGGGGGCGTCTTGGGGTCTCTCGAAGGGTTCGTGGGCACTCCTGGGGCAGTTTGGTGGGCGGTATTCAATTCTTCTTGGGCGGTCTTGCAGCGATCAGGGAGGCGCCTGGGGACGCCCAGGGCCCATGGGGCTCGCGAGGCCAATGTTGCCCGTAAGGGGCCCGCAGGGCTCATGCGGCTCATCGGGCCTGGAGAGCCTGCGGAACGAGGGCTCATAGGGCTCGCGGGGCTCGTGCGGCCCATAGGGCCTAGGAAGCCCGCAGGGCCCGTAAGGCTCATGTCGCCCAGAAGGCTTCGAAGGCTCACGTGGCCCACGTGGCCCACGGGGCCCGTAAGGGTCCCGAAGGGCTGATACTGATGCGGCCCATAGGGCGCGTAGAGCCCGTAGAGACTGCAGGGCTCATGGTGCCCACGGTTCTCCGAGGGCTCATACAGCTCGCGGGGCTCATGCGCTGCAGAAGGCCCGGAGAGCCTGCAGGGCAGAGCCCGCGAGGCTCAGGGCCCATGGGGCTCTGAAGGCTCGGAGGGTTCATACGGCCCGTGAGCGCCAGCGATCCCGCCGAATCTGGAAGTCTCACAAGGTCCATAACGCTCTGCGGTCTCATAGGATTCGTGTGTGTGTGTGTGTGCGTGTGTGGGGTGGGATTGCTGATTATGTGTGTAAATATCTGTATAAATACATAATTGTGCGGACGCTGATGTCCTGGATGCTCACCTTCCCCTCCATGTCTGGCATGTTCCCATATTTCGGAGAGGAGCGGAGAGTATTCGCGCTTGTGTCTAAGATTTCCTCCTGACGATGTATCACCCGATGCCTGGTCAGCCCAAGGAGGGGCGAGGGGGTCGGTTCCGAATAGCTTTCAGACCCATTTCAGCCAGAAATGGTTGGGTGACCCCCGTACCGATATTAAGTGAGGACCGGAATAAGTACTTACCGTCTAAGCCACACGGGGATGGGATCCAGCTATGAGATGCACCTAGCATCGTCATCGCACCGCCCCGCAGAGCAAGCGACAAGAAACATAGAAGACTGGGCACACGTCGTTGCTACGCATTAGCCTGCTTCAGCTCTTGAACGAGCTCTGCGTGCGAGTCTATCTGGCGCAGGGGGTTTTGCGTATTTGAACAAAAGAGGATCAAGAGAAGGCTGTACACAACAGATGTTTGCACGGCGCAAACCAATATGTGCCTCTCGCGGGTCTGCTGGCGATTGTATATTCAACATGATGTGGACGCGCAAGCGCATCACCCCTTTGGAGAACAATGATGATTCGGACGGGCAGATGCTCGGAGTGAATCGGCAATCATGAATTGAACAAGTGGGTTGGACATGATAAGGCGAGTTGCACGCGGAGCTGCGCAGTCAGACGAGACATAACCAAGGCCGACACTCTTGTGCCATCCCAAGCACCTAAACCACCGGGCCGCAAGGAACAGTTCGTCACACCTTGCACGCGTCGATCCATTCAATCAGAAGTGGACCTGTGAACGTCTCTCCAACGCTCACTGTCCCGTTGCCGTCTAAAACGTACCACCCCCACAACCCAACTCTCCAGGATTTCTGGCCAAACTGGAACCTTGACAGGTTCAAGGAAGCAAAGCCCAGTCCGATCGCTATGTCCAGAGCAACTCACTGCTCAACAATCCAGAGCCTCCGTATCCGCCACCGTGCCCCCCGGCACGCTGAGGCGTGGTAGAATGCCAAATACTGCTGGTACAGTCTCTGTACGTCTTCTAGGAGCCCCGCCCCTAGTCGCAGAGTTCTCAATGCATCCTCGTTTTCCCGGGTGAAAACGACTTGAACCCGCTCCACCGCGGTCACGATCCCTTTTAAAAAGCGGCTTACATCCGCGCTGCCGAGGCGCCTCTCCCTGGTACAGAGCAATTGGGCCCGCTCTCTCGAGGCCACGCTCCAACGTACAAGACAATGAATCCGCGCCCCCGAGCTTCCAAGATGGTCGAGGCAGGCCACCAAGACCTGCAAACTGGCCCCAGACGCATCTAAAACAGCCCAGGATTGCCCCAGTATGGATCAAGACAGTCTGAAGACGGCCCAGGAGGCCAACCATACGATCCAAGAGGACCATAGAAGGACGCACTGCAGGGTCAAAGTCACTGATTTTCTTCAGGTTTCATTATCTTCACCTCGTCGGGCTTCTATCAGCTCAAGGCGGCGCTAGAGGACTCCAAGATGGCCTCAGGACGGCCCAGAGGGTGGCAAAATGGCAATGTGATCTGTCAAGAAGGCCTCAAGATTCCCCTAACGGCCCCAAGAGAACCCCAAACTGCCGAAGAAGCCTCAGGAAGGACCCGCGGCTACCTTAAAGAGCCTCTCGACGGCCCGCCGGCTCCGACAGCCTCAAGAGAACTCCCAGACGGCCAAGAGGACCCCAAGACGGCTCAAGAGAGCCCCAACACGGCCCAAGAGGGCCCTAAGGGACACCCAATACCACACCACATGAGCCCAAGACAGCCCACATGAGCACCATGAGAGCTCCTCAAGAAGTGAGGTCGATCATCGCCACATCTCAAAATCATCACCATCGCAATGTTCCACATCGTATATGTCCACTGCAATGATCCTCCTCCTCACCCTCCTCCTCGGTGTTCCCACTCTCCTTTATCCATTGTTTACATATTCCTGCTCCGCCCCAGGTCGACTTCGAATGACCCCAGACATCCTCAAAACAGCCGAAACATTACATGTGACAGAGTTATGAACGTTGCTCCAACCGTCAACGCACACTCTACATGTCACGCGGATAGGTTCACATGTTGCAGCCTCCTGACGTCCTTCGAATGATCGCCTTCGATAGAACTGGGCTGGCACGGTGGCGGGCAATCACCACCCTCTTGATGCGTTCATGGCGTTGGGGCCTTCCAGGGGTGTGAAGGATACCCCGAGACGCTCGCATGGTGCAGCATGGTTGCTTCATGTCTCGAGACGGCCCTGATATCCCCCAAGCCACCCCTAACTGGTAGAGCCATCATAGTAATCACCTCACCTGCCCATCCATTACTGTTCATTAATTTCTGGTTCCCCTTGCCTCATCCTTCCGTTTATGTTCCCTCCTCCTCCTCCTCGGGCTCCTCCTCCTCCTCCTCCTCTTCCTCCTCCTCCTCTTCCTCCACATTCCTTCTTCGTGAAACACCTTGCGAGAGCACGCCAAAGTGCTCGGAGGTCGCCGCGGCCCCGCGCTATCGGCTGACCACCATTAGGCTCGAACGCAGGGGCGCCTGCGATGTATTCGGCGCCTACGCTGTGGCCTGGACCCTTCCCAGCTGGTCTTCCTCCACGCCGCACGGCAGAAGGCAGCCGGCACGCACTTTTGTCCGTGGGGCCCATTCGTTTCTGCTCGGCCTGCGGTTCTTACTCCCGTGAGAATAGACTCGGTTTGGCCGAGCCTGGCAAAATGGAGCGTGATCCGCCAGCGCGCCACACCCTACCACTTGAGCAAAATATTGGGGGCATGTGATCCGCGGACGGGTACGGCCCCGGGCTGCTCCAGGCCTCAGCCCTTCGGGGCGTTGGCAATGGCCGCGAAAGTCGGAGACCTCCTCGTACTGCCCGGCGTCAGCGATGGGAACGATCACGGCTGGCCTACCTCGACCCCTCTTTCCCATGTGTCTCCATATTCGGCGGCGAGCGAGGGGGGGGAAATGAGAAGGAGAAGGCCCTCTCAGAAGGCGGCGGGGCTTCTCAGAAGCCCTCGGGCCTTCTGAGAAATCTTGTTGTTTTCGGGGAAGGCTCAGAAAACTTCTCAGAAGGCCAGGGGACTTCCGAGCCTTCTGAGAAAGCCCGCCCACTCTCACTTCTTCCCCAGGCTCCCCGCCGACATATGCCCTCCTCCCTCCAGGGCTGGCCGTTTCGGGCACGATCGCACTTCGCCAAGGCCACGCCGGGAGCCCCCGTTGACAAACTAACTGCACGCTGCGGGCAACGCCCTCGCGACCAACGCCCAGTGCAGTGGTGGCATGATGACGTAAACGAAGCCAGTCTTTCAACAATCCATCGGCTTAATAACTAAAGACCGCAAGAGCGCCTTACCATCCAAGCCCACATCCACTGTTCGAACTACTGCCCTGGCATTAAGTCGGGCCTGTCCCCCTACAGGGGGATTTGGGGCGAAAAATAAAAAACACCCCCAAAACTGTCCCCTGGGTATATTTTGACTGTCTTTGACTCTTCCTCCTGTAGAGGGACGTGCCCGACTTAAGCCAATACCCGTCGTCAAGCAAGCCGCAGGTGCCAGATCGCTGGAGAGCGACCGCGGAGATCTGCCCCCCCACGCCGACGTGGAGAGGAGGCAGAAAGAGAGGCTTTCGGGAACCTGCCGAGCATGCACGTGCGGCGGCGCCGGGGGGCCGCGATGCAGAGAGAGCGAAACAGCGCGCTGGTGCAAAGGCGCCATTCAGGGAGGGCAGACAGAGAGCAGGGACAGAGGATGACGCCTCCACGTCACGAGAACGGGCCGTCAGGGACCGAGCCAAGCCAAGGACCCGACCACACGCCACAGCGCGCAGGCAGCGGAACGAGCGCAGCGGGGCAGCAGCAGAGGGACGCGCCAGAGAGGGCGCACAGCAGCAGCAGCAGCGAGAGAGATCAGCAGCAGCAGCAGCAGCAGGGGAGCAAACACAGGGGCACCAGAGGAACAAAGAAGACAACAACGAGAGCCCCAACGGGAGCACGCCAGACTGCTCGGCGGTCGCCGCGGCCCTGCGCTTCCGGCCGACCGCCCAGCGCCTGACGGCAGCCTAGTTGTGTGATTCGAATGCAGGGGCGCATGCGATGCAGTCGGCGCCTGCACTGCGGCCTCGCCCCCTTCCAGTCTTCCTCCACGCTGCACAGGCGGCCGGCGCAGACTCCTGTCCGTGGGGTCCTCTAGTTCCTGCTTGGCCAGCGGCCCTTACCCCCGTGGGAGGGCAGTCAGTTTGGCCGAGGCTTGCAAAGGCGGCGTGACCCGCCAGAACGCCACACCCCACCGCCCGAACGATCACGGCTAGCCTTGTAGATGCCATGGCAACGGACACTCTAACAGTCCTATCATCGAATGTAACATGTGTTCAAAATGTGGGAACATGTTCTAAGCATGTTTTGATCATTTTTAGATGTTTAGAACATGTTTAACACATGCTTTAGACATCTGGAAATGATTTGGCAGCATGCTTCCTCTCCATTGATCGGCCTCCACAAGGCTAACCTACCTCGACCACTCTTTCCCATGCGTCCCGTCTACACTCCTCCCTCCAGGGCTGGGCGATCCTGGCACGGCGGCGCTTCGCCGAACCGCGCCAGGAGCCCGCTAATGAAGTGTGCGCCGTGGGCAACGCCCGCGCGACCAGCGCTCAGTTCAGCATGGTTCGCGCACCGACCAAAAGCACAAAAAACCTTCGCCTTCGGTGGCGCTCCCCACGGGGCCACGAAGCGCGTGAAGCGCGTGGAGTGTGCGCCGAAACTCGGCGGGACCCCCATGTGGGCGCACCCAGCGGGGACGTGGGCCCCTACGGGGCCCGAAGCATGCGAGGGGTGTGTGTGTGTGTGTGTACTCCAGATTTCGTAATAAAAGGGAGGGGGTCTCAACCCTCCCAGACGAGAAGTTTTAGACCCCCCCCCCGTGGGAGAACCCTCCAAAACATCGTCTCCAGACCCCCCCAGGCCCTCCAAGATAGCCTGGAAGAGACCCCCCCCGAAATGAGACCCCCCTCCCTTTATTACGAAATCTGGAGTATGTGTGTGTGTGTGTGCCGAGATTGGTGTTGGGAACGCATGCGGGCTGCGCCGCAGGACCTTCGGTGGAGTTCGCGGTGGGGCCGCGGAGCTTGCCGGGGTCTCCGCTGGATCTCCCCGCGGGGCCTCGAGTCGTCCGGAAGTGTGCCAACATCGGTGACGGCTGGGTAGTCGAAGCCAATCTGGCGCCAATCTGGCAGGCCCAATCTGGCAAACGGGGGCAATCTGGCGAGGGAGCCAACGCGAATCCAGTCTGGCGAATAACCCAAATCATCCAGTTTGGCCGGGCCAGATTGGCCCTTGGGGCCCAGTCCAATCTGACGGTCTGGCCTTCGACTACCCAGGACGGGGGCGCGTGCGAGCTGCGCGC